AACCAGCGCGAGGAAAAGTAAACCGGATGCGCGTGACCGCAATACGTTCTGTATTCTTAATGCGATGTAACGGGATAGACGAGTCACAAGGAATGTACACCAAGTCAAGTATTCTGTGCTAGTCAGGGTACACTCAAATATAAGATGACACCTTCCATTTATATTATTTCTTCCATCTGGCAATTTCATTCTTAAAATATCTTTATATTAGCCTTTTCTCACTTGGATACTTTGTTCAGGAACACCAACATTGGCCACATGTCTGAGGAATTTGGTGCTAGGGCAGGCACCAAGTTGATGGCAACCATCAGATGGTTGTTCGGCAAACATTGCAGTCAATCAAGAGCATCCTTTGTAGCAACAACAAATTGTTGTCAGCAATATATCTGAGAGATGCATGGAGGCAGACTATTTCCACTCCAGCCCCATTCTTGCACCATCATTGACTGATGATAATGAAATTAACAGACAGGTGATGGGCAAGTTGCCTGGCATTGACCAAGTTTATAGGTCCATCAATGGAGTTAAAGAACAGGAGGGGCAGGATGAAACCTTGAATCAGCCTGAAATCCCAAATTCCATCAACCCTTCAAGGATGCCCCAACACCTGTTGACTCTGCAGGTGGGGGCTCCAATCATGTTGATGAGGAACATCAATGGAGATCAGGGTTTATACAATGGTACCCAGCTGCAAATTTGCCAGCTGACCAGGAATTTCATTGATGCTAGGATCCTGACTGGTCCCCACAAAGGAGAGAGGGTATTTATTGCAAGGATAACCCTCATCAGCAATGATGAATGGATGTCCTTCAGGTTAAAGAGGAGGCAGTTTCCTGTTCAGATTGCTTTTGCCATGACAATTAATGTATCTCAAGGCCAATCTGTGGAAAACTTGGGCATTTACTTGCATGAACCAGTGTTCTCACATGGACACATGCATGTAGCACTATCCTGGTGCACATGCAAGAGCAAACTCAAAATTGTGTTGGCACACCCAGTATGCAAGGACACAACAGGGGCCTGCACCAAAAACCTTGTCTTCAAGGAAGTGATTTAAGATGCCAGATACCACTGCAATTTTTCTTCATCTGGACATTATGATCATCCTTGAAAAGAGGGCATCAGTGAACTGGGTGGAACCCAGTGATACCCTGGGCCATATCACTACATAGGAAATGCCCATAATACAGCAAATGTGCTGGGGAACTGGCAGCCATATTGATGGAGTTCAGAATAAAATCATTAATGCTAACTCACAACTTGCCTAGGGATGGCTGGGCACAACCGGCTTGTCTTGCCTAATAAAGTAAAGTTACTTCTTGTCAGTTGGTCAGTCCATTGAGAGGTCAATCCCTCCTGACTTTTCCCCCTATCTAAAGATCATGAGGTGCCAGGCGCCTCATCATGCCAGCAAAATGATTTACTTTCAGAACTTCCCATCCAACAAAAGTAAGCAGCAAGACACTGGAAGTATCAAGGACTTCAAATCTTGCGAGTTCCGTCCCCCCTTCCCAATTGTAAAGCTTCCTGTTCCTGCTGAAATGTCTTCAACTGCAGCTTAATAGGCCAATCCCAGGCCTCAACAATTGAACCACTGTATCCCACCAAATCAAGGAAGAAAGAACAACTCTTCATCCACATAATCAGTCTTCTTGAGAGGTTCAATTGGTATCAAGTGCAGTGAACTTTGTGAAGACTTCTTTAGGAGTGTGAAAATGTTTGTGTCTTTGTTGAGCTGTGGAAAAATTGGGCTTTTTATTTTGAAACAAATCAATTATAAAAGATTTAAACCAGATCCACACAGGGAATTCCAGCCTAGTCCTGGGCTCATTAAACTGTTTCCTTTTTCATTTTAATTTCTAATTTTGATCCCTAGAAATTTGCCTTCTTTGATTCTTTGTGTTGTGAAACTTTATTCTCAAGTAAACAACATTTTCAAATCCCAGGGCAGTTTTCATTTTTACAGAGCCCAGTCTGAAGGATAGTCATATTAAAATTTTTAATAATTACTTTGTGCATTTCAGATGGCTGAAAATATACCAAAGACAGCTTCTGGTGCCCAAAATAAAAAGAAAAGCTGCTCATGGCATTTTATGCCAAAAGTTATCTGGTTCATTTAACAAATTTCTTGAGACAAAAGGAGATCACATTAAGACCAACATTTCTTCCCAAGAGGGAGTTTTGCTAGATGAGAAGAAACCTGAAAATGTTGTGGGACCTGAAGATTTATTTATTGAAAAGAGTGAAGTGCATGGAAATAATGAATACATACTGGTTGAAACAGTTGAAATGGAAACAGAATTCTTGGAATGTGAACATTACAGAGGTAGAAGATCCTGGTACATGGCCCAAAAATTCAAGCACAAAGCAGCATCATTACCTAGTTGAAAATACTGTACTCCAAAGTAGATTTTTGAGTGGAATTTTCCTTGGAATAAATGTATATAAGACAATTTTCTCCTCATTATTATAGTTTACTGCCAAATGGGGAGAAAGCTTTGCAGAAATGGCTATTGTATTCTGCTTGCATTGCAAACTGTTCACTGATTGTAAGTTGCCCCTGAGCAGTAGAGCAGGATCTTGTGACTGGTAGCATCTATCTCAAATTTCAAGTAGGCATGAGCGAACTAATTCAAATATTCAGAGAAGCAGTAATATTGCTCAATTACAAAAAGCTTTGCAGAAGCTCAAAACTATAGATTCTTGTCAGCAGCAAATGTAAAAATAGAGAAAGACTATTGGCAATCATTCATAGAACACATTATCCATGCAATCAAGTTTCTGTCTATGCAAAATCTGGCATTTCAGGGATCAACTGAAAAATTATTTCAAAACAACCATGGCAATTTGTTAAAATTGATAGACATTTGCAACATTTGACCAAATGATGGCAGAGCACCTTTGTTGTGCTCAAAAGTCTGAAACAAAACTGGTTGATTATTCAGGCCACAGGATTAAATAAATGCTGCGGTGTCCTTCTAAAGTTTATCCAACCATGGGACCACCTGCGCTGTCCTTCCATCCCTCCATCCAGTGCACAGAATGCATTGCAAGCCTATTAAATCATGCGCAAACTTTGACATGCAATGAAACAGTCAGTTTTTGAGTTATAGACCCCAAAAGAACTTCATTAGTTGCGCAATTTTGTTGTCAATATTTCTCTTTTCAACGTAAAAAAAATATTCATAACTTTTTGAGATATTTTAGAAAATGGGAAACAAACTTTTTTCAAAATTTTTAAAATCCTGTTCCTGCATTGGCAAATATTCAAAGCCCTGCAACTCTGTATAATCGGTTTTTTGCAGAAAAATGCATGGAACATAACTTATGCATGCTTCAATTTTGGACATTACCCAGGTTGAGATTTGAAACTTTTGATCTCTCTGAAATAAGAGAAGAACTAGTTTCTAAAACAGCTGATGTCCAGTGCATGGCAGCAGACCCTGTTGGGGTGTAGTACATCATGCAGCAGGTGCCAGTTTGAGTCTGGCGCCAGTCCATTCGTTAGTCAGCATAATCAATGGACTATAGTATAGGTAGAGGGGGCATAATAATTATAGATAGGTGGGTTATTGATAAAGTAGAAAATAAAAGGCTGTAAGTCAATATTCAGGTAAATAATAAGATAGATAAATCCTGGGGTAATGTCGAGGATTTAAAGGAAGATTGTACAGTGAAATACAGTGCAATGTTAAGTCTGTAATACGGGATACAGGAATTTTTTTTTATATATAATGCCCAGTGGTGCGACTGGGCCGCACACCTGGGCATGCGCTCTTCCGTGTGTGATCTGATAACGCTTTTACAATCTAAATGTCTACAGTGCCCAGGTGTGGCTGGGCACCCTCAGCCTTCAACATTGAAATTTCCTCCAATGTATATATATATATATATATTTTTTTTAATACTGTATAGCGCATGATGCCAGGGGTTGCACAGATATTTATTTTAAATTGAAAAAAAAAATGCCATCCAAAAAGTTCACAAAATCTTTTCCTTTGGTGTCGCTTTTCCAGGTCTGGCTGGGCAAGTGACAGAAGTTAAGAAAGAATGAATCCTCAACATCCATGTACTGAAGGAGACTGAATCCATTGTTGTGTCATTGACTGCTGGACTGAAAAATTGGTTTGTTGATCCAACTGACAAAGAGACAGCCACCATTTAGCATCAAACTGTTCATAAAGTTCAGAGAGATTTGGCTGACTTTGCAGCTGTGCAGTGGGATGATTAAAATCCAGCTGATGAAGCTATGAATTTCTCAGGGTTCTACAAAACTTACAGTTATTTGCATCAACTAACCAATGTTACTGCTGAGAACCCAAAGGGTGAAATAGAATGGACTAATGACCTACTGTACCAGGAATTTCAATTTTTTCCGATTGTGTTTTTAACATTTAAAAACTACTGCTCCTTTCCCATTCCAACTATGTACTTATTATTCAGTCCAAAACGCCTGCTTATTGTTCAGTATAAAACACCTGTTCGCAAGCACTTGTACAGAATGAGATTTTGGGCGTTGCTGTACCTTCAGGTCACTCTTACGACCTACCCCACCTGGAAAGATTACACGGAACATAATATATTTTTTTATAAAATGCCACTTACACATTCGGCGTTCGGACAGATTTTCCCATTATACATTTGAGAGAGCTGAACAGATTAGATTTTTACGGATTCGGGTGGACCTACGGACTGCAAAAAATCAGCATAATCCACACAGAAAACCCCAAAATTTTCGTTAAAACGTAAAATAAATTTGAGCTGGAGAACCATCCCGAGATGAAAAACGGTACCCAAAAAATGTTTCAGAGCAGCCTGGGCTCTGGAGGTCCGTTTCTTAGCCTCAAAATTACTTTCAGGCATTGAATGATTACGGCAAACGTTGCTCGCTCTTCACTTATCCGTTATCACACGTACAAATCTCATCGAAGGCCTCCACTTTTAAATAACAAAATAGGAAACGGGCACGAAAGAGGGAGGGGGGGGGTACAGATTTTACCTCACTGAACGTCGAAACCAACACGATGGCTGGACTTATCGTCCGTCATATCACAGTCCGCGAAATCCGTCACGGGAAGGTAAAGATTCTCCGTCGAGCCACGTAGACAATCCGCCACCACTAAACCACTGCTGGACGTTGCGGCATTGACGAGCGCCGACAACCCATCGGACCCCAGACGTGGGTTAAATTCCAAGGGTAACGCGACACTGGTATCTAAACCGAGAGACATCACAGCGTGCCTCGGGTCAAACTGCGAAATCACATCAGGACGATGGTTCATTTGAAGGAATTCACAGCTAGTCCCGTTCGGAATGAAGGAAGATTCGCCCAGTTCCGGCATCGAATGGGGAGTGTCGGACGTGAACCCGTCGGAGATCACTATACTGGTACTCAACTCCGTCCATCTACACACATACACAAAGAATATAATTTATCATGAAACCATAAAATTAGGCACAATATCGGATTCTCACTGCTTTCAAGATCATATATGTTATCTTCTGCCCACGAACTCAACATACTGGCTTCTACGTTTATACACAGTCCAACCTCTGTAATACGAACTTCAGGGGTACCCTGACGGGAAAAAATCGGTTCAGGGATGTTTCAGTTAAGGATCAACCGAATTTTGGAAAGGCGCAAGAAAAATTTACCTTGGACAGTACTGTGGAATCTCCAGTAACTTGTTAATAAATCTAGAAATTCAGAAGTTTCCTATCTTGGAAAAAAGGTTTGCTTGCTTAAGCCTTGAGGAAAAAAGCGAACAGTTTTCTTAATTTTTCCAGAGAAAAATAAGGTTTGCTTCCTTGAGCCTGGGTAACAAGCAAATGGTTGTCTATTTTCCTGAGGTAAAAATAGATGAGGGTTTGCCTGTGAGATCTCCGAAAATAAAAAAGAACAAAAGAGGTTAAATCCTTGAGCCTGGAAAAACGGAAAAGAAAGGTTGAGATATTAAACTGGAAGTGAAATATCTGTGCGTATTTAAGGCCTGAAAATGTTGAGATCTCTGAAAAAGGTTTGAAGTACAGTATTTCGACCTAGAAAAATACTTGGACAGAAATTGTTGCGTGAATATTCAGAATATTTGACACTATTTGAAAAAAACACTGGAGTGGAAATTCCTTGGTGCTTAAAAGTCCAAGAAGGGATACATTAAAAACGAACCTAAATTTATTTCTGAGAAATCCCACCTCAGCTAGAGAGAAGAAAAAAAAGCTCTTCTCCTAGGTTAGAACAAAAAATTGGATTTTTAGAATCTGAAAATCTTTGTGGGTCAGGAATAAAATCGAAAATAGGTCACCGGGTAAACAACAAAACTACAGTGCTTCTGGAAGCCAAAGAGCAAGAAAAGGTAAGTTTGAAATTCAGACTGGTTTGCTTTTGAAAATTAAAAAAGGCAAGAAAAAAGCCTAAGACAAAAGTTGTGTTGAATTCGTTCCTAGAAGATCTAGCTACACAAGTGCACTTGAATAGGCAGAAAAACATCAAAATTGCACTCTGGTCTGGGAAAAAAGAGAATAACACAGAAGAAAAGCAAAGAGAGGGGAGAAAAAGGTTCTGGTTTTTGGGGTGAAGTGGAAAGGGGGAGAAAAGGCACAATCACCCCAGAACCCCAGCTGATTGCAGCAAAACCTTTGCAAGCATTACAGCAGTTAACGCCTGACACCTTTGTGTCATGCATATCAGTAACAACAACAAAAACAATTTGCTACTCCCATTGTGATTGTTGCCCTTCTGAAAGGAGAAAAACAGAGTTTTTTGTCACCCAAAATCCACTTGGGTTATTCAAATAAATTTCCAACTTTGACAGAAACCAGGAACAAATACAGTACTTCAGAAATAGAAGTATCCCAAAAAAGGGTAACAAAGCAAGTTCATTCAGACATTGTTTTGAGACAGCAGCACAGAGAAAAAATGTTTCCCCAGTTTGGAGAAGAAAAGGTGCTCTGTCTACTAGTTGTAACTTTTGAAGTTTCAGTGCATACTTTTCCTGACAGTGAAGTAGCATTCACTGATTAAATTAAATTTCCCAATTTTTGTCCTTGTATTTTAAATCTTCTCTGAAAATCTAGAAGTTTTTCAAAATGACATTGCAGGGCATACCTTCAGGATCACAGCTATGTCAGATCTGCAAGCCCAATTAGAGGAAATGCTCATCCTTGCAAAAGAGGAACAACAAAATTGATAGAGCTGTGGCTGAGAAGAACAATCCTGATAAAAAAAGCCCAGCAAAGAACAGTTAGCTGTATTGAAGGAGAACATTAAAAATTACTCCACAAAAAAAAATACTGTACTGGGAAACCTGGATAAACCTCCTCCAGCTCAGTCTGGATAATCTGGAGCAAAGTCATGCACAGATAGATGCAGCACAGGCTGCCATGCTGACTCAGCTAAATGAGGCTGAGCTGCAGAAAAAGAAAAAGGATATGGATGAATTGAGTGGCCTGGGAGAGTCCATCTTCAGGAAAGAACTCTCTCTAGATCAGCTATACAGGCCTATTGCCTCTGAGAGTCTCTTCTTTAAGATGAGAACAAATAGAGAAGCAGGATTCAAGGTAGGCACTAACATGTGTAGCTGGATCTTTCAATGATGTTCCTGCCACTAACATCATTTTAAGCCAAATTCCTTCTTTAGAAGGAGATGAAAAAATCTCTTGGATAAAGCAGTGGTCCCTTTTCAAGCTTGCTTGAATAACTGTGATGTCTCCAATAGTTAGTTGAAATCCCTTCTCTTGAAGAAGATAAAAGGCCCTGCTAGAGATTCCATCATGAATATCAGAGGTCTTTTAGACAAGGACTATAGGCACATCATTGAAGTCCTTGAGTCCAAATATGGACATAAAATCAAATCAGGAGGAGTAAAAAATTACAAAAAATAAGACAATGACCTGATGAGAAGGTCAGGGACTATTCCACAAAAATCATAAGGGTTGGTATGGAAAAGTTGGGAGAACCCCTTAGCAAGTTAAAAGTACTTTGCTTGGGGAATGACAAAAAACCCACCATTACTCAAAATGTTCTCTGAAGAGATGAATTATTGATCCAACAAGGAGCATATCATTGATGATTTTATGATGACTAATTTCCTTCAAGGATTAAGAAAGGACATTTCAAGTAAATTTATGGTGGTCCCCACCAACTTTGAGCATGCTGTGTAGCTGGCTTCCCAAATTGAGGAGCTGCAAAAATGAGTCCCTGATACTGATGAGTATCACATCAATGCTCTGGCTCATGACCTGAGTCTTTTTTATGTGACTGAGGGTCATATGCCTCATCAACAGAACATGGGGAATCCAAAAAGACAGATGCCTTTGGATCCTAATGATTATGCTCTCAACTCTGGAGAGTGTTGGGCATGTGGAAAAGTGGGGCATTTTCAGAAGAACTGCCAATGGCAGGAAAATGCATATTATTGCCTACAAATTTGCATTTGTCAATACACAAGGGCTGAGCCCAGAGTATATAAAAATGGGCAGTAACCCCTCCATTCAGGAGCCGCAGCCCCATTCCCAGAACTCAGCTCCCCCGCAAACAAAGCAAGAGCCTGCATGCTAGGGGATGGTCTAGGTCAAACCCCAATAGATTCAGGAGAAACAAAACCCCTGCTGGCAGCAGAAGCCACAGCCTCTGCTCAAAAAAAATCCACACTGTCATTTGAAGTTTCTGAACTTTGTAATAAATAACCAGGAGAAAGAGAGGCAGCATCTAAAGCAGCAAGCACAGGAAGATGCAGCAACTTTGACTGAGGATGAATGGAACTTGGAAAACTATTAAGGACCGGAGTTTCCAGCCCAAAATCCATCAAGAAACTGTCAGTTTTTCTAATGACCACTACCATTCCTAATTTCCCTGTTGAATTTTTAATTGAGACAAGTTCAGAGGAAAGAAACTAAAGTAGAACACAGGACTTCGGACTTTAAGTAAACTTAAGATGAAGACAAAATTAAAAATATAGTCTTCCTTTTAGACAAAGGTATCCAGTCCACCTACGTAAGGATACGTACGGACTTGAAAATTTCCAGATTTTGTTTTTGGTTTTAATTGTAAATAATGGTGATTTTGAAGGTATTATTGGCAATGATTTACTTCAGAGAACCCAAGCCATTGTAGACCATATCGTGTTACAAATGGTATTTTTTCCATTCAAGGTTTCACCTGTGTGAACCTGCTAAATTCCAATAGTGATGAATTGTCACCAGCATCTTTTGTAATGCTCCTCTCATTGATGAAGCTCATGCCCTTTTGTTTACATTAACTTTTGCTGATTGCAACTGTGTTTCCCGGATGCTTGCCTCTGATGCTGAACAGAGCCAAGCATTCCAGTACTGTTTTGAGACAACATTGTATGCCTCTTATGTTACCTGATACTGCCTTCCAGCAGCCCCCTCTCAGCAACATTAAATACTAGACTGGTGTTGCACAAAGTTCCTGTCTAGACTCATGACCCCTTTATGTCAATGAGTCTGAAACCACATGGCTGTACCAGCCTCCAAATCTAGCAATATAAAAACCCCTGCTGAACTCTCCCAAAGTCAGTTGATCACAGATCCTCAAGTCCTCAGTCTCTAAACAAATCCGAAGGGAGGTCTGTAGAACAGAACCAAAACGAAGTCAACAGAACACATGAGTTTATTTCTTTAATAACCCACTTTTCAGACATAAAAAGTTTCCAGAACACATGTCAGAAAACACCTCTCAGCAATCAAGGGGTTAAGAACCTCTAAAAAGAGTCACACACTCTTTTAATGTTCCCTTAGTTTTATTCATTGTTGTTATCTTAAAGTAATGATAACGTAAAAGGATAACAATCTATAAATGACTCTTGTTATATGAATAGAAGATTCCATTCTTCTCAAGATCTTCTATGACATGGAACCTCAAGAAAAACATGGTTCATATCATGAATCAACTAGCAAAAGAGAATGGCATTAGGGTCTTTACTACTATAAAAACTGTCATACCTAGTTTATTGCAGTTAATTAGTATGGCTCAGACTAATGCTGAGACCCAGGAAGAAGGGTTAGGATTGTTTGTAGATAGGAATGAGGACAATGGCATTCTAACTGCCAGAAGCCTCTCAAGGGTCAAACATGGAAAATTCCATGTCTCATGTATGAATCTCACTGATGAGGACATTGAGGGTAATCCTGATATGGCTCTGACTTTTGCATCAGTGCATACGTCACCTTCTCAGGTGAGTTTCATCAAAAATGAAACCTCCAAAATCAAGGATGTGGAAAAGGAGAAAATTCATGGTGAAGAAGAAAACCTGAGTATGAATCAGCTGATTCAAAAAAGTTTGCTTGCTTCAGAATGCCCTGATCACCTCTTGGAAAGGATCAGAGCTTTGCTAATGAAGCAAAAAAAGGACTTGTAAAGAAAGCTGATCAATTAGGTCTTTGTTAAATCTATGAGGCTTTTATTCCTTTAGACAATCAAACTCAGATTTACACCAGGCAATACCCAATTCTGCTTGGGATGAGACCATTGCTTGAGGAGTATGTTTAAGATCTTTACGGACAAGGAATAATTTGCCCAAGTAAGTCTCCTTACAATAGCCCCACATTAATGGTTAAGAGAAAGGATGGTGGCTGGCAATTGGTAGTTAACTTCAGAAGACTTAATGATCTTGTGATCACAGACTATTCAGGAGTCAGAGATTTGTTTAGGCTTCCCTCCAGACATCTTGTCTTGGTTTTGCTTCAGTTGTCTTGTGTACTCAAATAAAGAAATTATTGGGTGAAAAGTCTGTATTTTTCAAAGGTCTTGTGTGTCAGAAAACACCTCTCAGCAATCAAGGGGTTAAGAACCTCTAAAAAGAGTCACACACTCTTTTAATGTTCCCTTAGTTTTATTCATTGTTGTTATCTTAGAGTAATGATAACGTAAAAAGGATAACAATCTATAAATGACTCTTGTTATATGAATAGAACATTCCATTCTTCTCAAGATCTTCTATGACATGGAACCTCAAGAAAAACATGGTTCATATCATGAATCAACTAGCAAAAGGGAATGGCATTAGGGTCTTTACTAATATAAAAACTGTCATACCTAGTTTATTGCAGTTAATTATTATGGCTCAGACTAATGCTGAGACCCAGGAAGAAGGGTTAGGATTGTTTGTAGATAGGAATGAGGACAATGGCATTCTAACTGCCAGAAGCCTCTTTAGGGTCAAACATGGAAAATTCCATGTCTCATGTATGAATCTCACTGATGAGGACATTGAGGGTAATCCTGAGATGGCTCTGACTTCTGCATCAGTGCATATGTCACCTTCTCAGGTGAGTTTCATCAAAAATGAAACCTCCAAAATCAAGGATGTGGAAAAGGAGAAAATTCATGGTGAAGAAGAAAAGCTGAGTATGAATCAGCTGATTCAAAAAAGTTTGCTTGCTTCATAATGCCCTGATCACCTCTTGGAAAGGGTCAGAGCTTTGCTAATGAAGCAAAAAAAGGACTTGTAAAGAAAGCTGATCAATTAGGTCTTTGTAAAATCTATGAGGCTTTTATTCCTTTAGACAATAAAACTCAGATTTACACCAGGCAATACCCGATTCTGTTTGGGATGAGACCATTGCTTGAGGAGTATGTTTAAGATCTTTAGGGACAAGGAATAATTTGCCCAAGTAAGTCTCCTTACAATAGCCCCACATTAATGGTTAAGAGAAAGGATGGTGGCTGGCAATTGGTAGTTAACTTCAGAAGACTTAATGATCTTGTGATCACAGACTGTCATCCCTNGGACAAGGAATAATTTGCCCAAGTAAGTCTCCTTACAATAGCCCCACATTAATGGTTAAGAGAAAGGATGGTGGCTGGCAATTGGTAGTTAACTTCAGAAGACTTAATGATCTTGTGATCACAGACTGTCATCCCTTCCTAGAATATCTCAAATATTTGAGGATATTGGGTCTGCTAAGAACTTCACAGCTCTTGATCTGCTTCATGGTTTTTATAACCTTAAAATCAGAGAAGAAGAGAGGTGGAAGACAGCATTCTCCACTCCTATGGGACACTATTACATTATGAAATACTTTCTGACATTCCCTTGTACCTCTAGCAGAGATCTGAATAAATTCCTACATTGGTTCGAATTGAGGATGATGAAAAAGGAATCTGGCTTGTGTGAAAAACATGTACTACGCACAAGCATGGAAAATAATAGGACTTATTTTTTTACTGTCCCTGGAGAATTTACTATGAAATACTTTCTGACATTCCCTCACACCTCTAGCAGACAATGTTCCAAGCAGCTGTATACTTTCTGTTGCCTGTCCTTGTGGACATACTCTGCTGCCAAGTCATGCACCGCAACCCTCCCCAAAATAAGGTCAGATCTGGATCTGACCACCCTTGCCAAATTCTGTCTTGCAAAGTTTATAAAGACACCTGCTGCCATCATTGCACATGCTCATTGCTGTTTGTTGGCTTGCTACTGACTGTTGAGTTCACTGTTCATATGTATTTTTTAGTTTGTCAATAAATCTATACATGGTCTATAATCTCTACATAAACATTTTGGAGGTAATTCAGACATTTCCACATTGCTGAATGTTATTTCTCTTGGGTTTTTGGAGCCTCTCACTGCATTCTAACATAGACACTGCAAGCTATTTAATGCTGTCACTGAGATACTTCAGAATATTTCTGAATATTTTTTCACAAATTCTGAAAGGAGCGGAGTAAAATATTCAACTTTTTCCTCACCTTAGTGTTCTCATTCAGAACTGCAATTTTTTGCTGGTGCTAATGGGCACAACATTTTTTTAAATATCCCAAGTTAGCCAGCACACAAGGGGTAAACTTTGCTGAATTTTTGAATAAATGGAATAAGTGTGAGAGCTGATTGGGCAAGGGAGAAAGTTGCCCATGTCATGCATGTGGGCGCCCCCCTCCCCCCATTGTTTCATTATGCTCTTGAGCCCTCCACCAGCATGCCCCACTAGGCGTGCCACTTTCCCAATTTCCACACACTTGGTGTGCCTTTTTTTCTTTATTCTTTTCAAAACCATTGCACTTGTATCTGTGTGCCCGTTTTTTTGGGCTTCAGCCAAGTATGAAGGAAAAGTTGTGTGGCTCATTCAGCCAGTCCAAGTCAAACTGACTGGACAGATTTTTCTCTCGCACAGTGGTGATGCACTTGTACAAATATTTTCTAATATGGCCAAACATTTAAATGTTTGGGTTAACAATAATCAAACCCACTTTTGGGTTCTTTCATTTTTAGTGAGAAATATCAAGTATTCAGCCCCACCTGCGGCTCATTTTATTTAGTACATTGCATTATTGTGTTTGAATTATGTGCTTGTGCTGTGTCACTGATGCATTTTATTTTTCTGTGTTGCAGAACTTGTTGTTCATGTGTTTGTCATCTTCAATCATTTGGCAATGACATAAAATCATTGTTCAGAAAATCTTGATATCATTTTATTATTATTTTGGGTATCTTTCCAAGTTGAAACAATTTAACTGGTATCCCTGGTCCTCCAAAGTTTTAACAACACACAACTTGAAATAAAATGGTTCAACCATAATGTGCGTGAACTAACAAGCGCCACAAATAAGTGGATGAATTTTGATATGCTGCCATCCAAGTTACAGTTGAAATTGTGATAAGAAATTTATGTTTCACACAGGCACATACTCAATCATCATGCACTTCTTTGAATATGTAAATCTTTTGTTCCATGAGTGGAACAACTGACATTATTGTGCCCATTCTTAACCAAATACATGAAATTAACTCTCAAATGCACTATGTTGGAGCATCTACATACAGAGTATAATTTCGGAGTTTTTTGATTACTTGTTTCTTATGTATTTCAGACTGGAATTCCTTGAAAAAGTGGCAATATTTTTAGAGTACTGCACATCCAAAACAGCAAAATCAAGACCTGTCATGATTTGTAAGATTTTGAAAAAATGCAGAGAAAACTTCTGAAACAAATAGCTCTTGCATTTCATTAAAACTGCATTCGCACTAGTAAAAATTCTATACTTCCTTCTGAGTCAACTTATTTGCTCATACCTGTCCATTCTTTCAAATAGAGGAACATAACTTCTAGTTTACTTTTTATTTGAAAGGAATGCATACAATTTAAAATGTAGCCAAAGAATTTCCAAGATGTATGCCATGTTGTACACTTTTTAAACCCCTAGCCTTCTCAACAAAAACTGTTAGTCCTTCAAGAAAATGGAATGATGCAGCTATGAGTTAATTAAAGTGAGATTTCTATAACATGGTGCCTATGGGGAAACTGCCAGGATCATTATAAGAAAAATGCATTTTAATGAAATTCATTGTGATGAAATTCTACCTTATCTATGTTTGGTTAAATGCTAGCGCCTCAGGGATCCGTTGATCTCTACAAATTATATTCTTTAATTGTGTGAGGAAAAATTCACGTTTACTTTTTACAAAGAAATATTAGGCCCATTTTTTGCCCAGCATCAGGCCAGAATGAGGTTCAATCCGGCCCTGATCAAGCTTCCCTGTGAACTTAAATGTTCGGACAACGCGTGCATCAGAACTGCCTCACACATTGTTCCAGTCAAGTTTCCTTCCCTCCCATCACCGGTGAAGGTATGGACGAATGTGGTGGGTCTCAGAGATTGGTATTGTGTGGCGGGGAAACTCTTGAAAGCCTTCTGAGTGACTGAAGATACGACAGGATTGATTAGATCCAGGGAACCATTGTTGACCACGTTGTTCCACCATTACCATTACCTTTTACCATACATTACATCTTACATAAACCTTTATGCAGTAAACCTTTATGCAGTTATGTCATTTTCTCCTTGGAGGAGGAGCATGGATACATCTTCCTTGATAATTCGGGTTCGTTTTTTGAGAACGGAGATTTAAAGCCAGCGAAAGCTTGGTTCCTTTCAAGGTTTTTTCTGTTGATGCTGTACGGTACAATATTTGAGTTCAATGTTTCTTCGCTGTAGGATGGTGCTGGTTCGGACGCAAGAGGCCATTCGGATGAGGCGGCTGGAGCGTTGTCAGCGGCCGCAGCAGAGGTGGCAGACACGGACCAAGGTGGCGCGGTGGACGAAGCCGCCCCTTCTGTGGCAGCTACAGGCGCCACTGGACAGCCGTGCAACGAAGACGGACTAGAGAAGAAGAAACGGAATCGCTGCGCCATTTGCAAGAAGAAACTTGGCCTCACTGGTTGGCTGGCATACCCTCATCTCGTCTTGTAATGAGGGGTTTCTGAAGTAGATTTTTTTGTTGTTTGTTATTAGGGTTCGGATGCAGATGTGGAGGACTTTTCTGCGCCGTGCATCGTTATAGTGACAAGCACGATTGCAACTTTGACTACCGCTCGCACGGCGCTGAGGAGATCCGTAGAAATAACCCCGTTGTCAAAGGCGAAAAAGTGAAGCAGATTTAATTGAATCAGAGATCCGCATTAACCCTCCTGTTCCATCTTTGCTCTTTTCTTGTTCTGAATCTCCGCGTGTGGGTCAACGTGAGGCCAAGGTGTTGTTTCCTTAGCGTAGCGCGGCAAATTCGGTGATCCTAGAGAAGAAAACATCCCCTGTTGACGTGAGTCTTGGGTTTGTTTCAATCCCTCGATCGTTCGTCGCCTTCTGTCTTTCCCCTCAGATTTTTGTCCAAACTTCCAAAGGGTCTTTCTCTCGAGAATCAGGGAAGAAAATCCTGCGGTTGGTGATGTTTGAAACCATACGGGTGTCATACCACTGTGCTTTCATGTCCTCATACCCGCACATGTGTAGAGTAAGACATAAGGCACTGGCAGGCTTGATGTCTTTCTCTCCCTCTTGCTCGCTTGTGTGTAGGATGGATCAAGTTGGACATTGGTACCCTTGTTTTGCTGTTCAGTATCATCTCAATTATGTAGCCATTTGAGTACTGAAAAATCACAAATTTCACCCTTCCGTGAATATTGATTTTTCATTCCAAAGCCCAGCTTTTTCAGAAATTGAACGTTCGTTCCAGCAAGTTGCACGGGAAGTGCGCAGAACTTAAATGCCGCCCTTTTCATACCGTAGCCAGAATTGTTCAAACAGAACTTATTAATTCTGCTGCTCCGTTATATTATGACAAGGCTGCACCTATTCCCAAATGTTGCTGTGTTTCGTTTCCGGCTGGGGAATGCATTGAGTATCTGTTGATGAACTCTCATTGCCTGACCACTTTCTCCGAAGCAGCTTGAACCTTCTCCTGGATCTTCTGTTCAAAATCTCACTTCTCGGTTCCGAACGACAACGGGGTCGGATGCTGTCGATCTCTTTTCTTCATCGCGGTTTACGTTCATAGGTGTCGCTTGCTATAACGACTGGAAGGGATTCTCTGTTCTGCAGCGGAGTGAACGTTTCAGTTCCCCTTTTCTTTCATAGGAAAGATAAAACGTAAAAAAAAAGTAAAAATACTTCAGTTCAAGTCCTAACCCTTTGATGCAATCGATGAAGTCCTGATTTCCCTCTGTTCAGAATGAGTTATATTCATGGTCTTGAATTATGCAAAATGTTTTTGATACCGTCTTCCTAAATCTCATATTTGCTGAAGTCCTTCATCATAAAATTTCAGCATTCATGAATTTCCTGCAGGTCCTGATGAACATAAAATTCAGAGAGTTTTCAAAAAAGTAATTCTCTCCGATGGATGCTTGTATATAGCGCCTTCAATCCCACACAAGAGAAAATGAGTCAACTTAACATGACCTGAAGTAATTCTACAAAAACCTGACTGAAATTCCAGTATAACTGAAAACCAAACTGTTGGAAGTAACCCAACCCTAATCCGCAAATTCATCCTAAATGTTTATGTTTTCTCTGCTCTGATATTAGGATATAGGATCTTCGTCTGAATTTACCTCCAGATACAGAATGTTGTCAGCAGGACAACCCTGGAGTTTACTTCGAATTACTTGGGAAAGAAGAATACAGTTGAAGAGCCCCAATTTTTTCCCAGCTGCTGCAATGGCCAAGAATTTCTGTTTCAACACGAATCAGTCCATTTCAGCAATGATCAACTTCCTGCAATCTTGGATTTGCCGAAGATCTTGATTTTAAACACTGATAAGCACCTTAGTAAGTCCTTGCAAAGACAAATATTCAAACAAGCTAGTCTTTTAATTTTTTTAAACACTGCTTCAATTTTCCTACTCAGTTGAATAAAGCAGCAGAACCAAAAAAGGAAATAGTTCTCAATTTCAGACTTGGTTCAAAAGTTGTGTCAGTGCTTTGGGCTGACACAGGTACATTTTACAAAATCACCCTAGATTTGGAGCATGTTTAAATTATGATCTGAAGCAAGCCGAGCAATTGAAATAGATCACTTGCTCAGCACTGTCAAAGACTGTGACAGCAACTGTGATGAGTATCTTTTGATGGTCAAAGACCTAAAGAATGAGATTGAAGAATTTAAAAACACAATCGCTGACTTAGTGGAGGTAGATGCTGAAGCTGAAATAGCCAGCCAGACCACACATAAGTCAGAAGAGAATTTCGAAAGAATAAGGCTAATGGATTGCTACCTTGGAAATGAAGAGGAGCAAAGAAATCCTATGCAAAGAGAGAGTACGGTCAAATGGCTGGCAACCGGTCAAATGGCTGGCAACCCTTATGACCATGGGAGAAGAACTGAGAGTTCTAACCACCCAAGAGATCAAAGGCAAAATGAGCCTTTCAAAAAGCATGATATGATGAGAAGTTCTTCAAGGATTTCACTGGTTCCCTGTAGACTCCTTCCTTGTTGACCCTTCTTCTCTTCTGGAAAGGTGGAACTTTTTCTTTCTATTTCCTGGGTGATTCTGTAAATCCAGGAGAGGGTAATCCCCAGTTTAGCCTCACTCATAAGAGATCACACTTCGTGCACTCTTATGATTATAATAATAATAATCCATATCATCATTTCCAACCAAATATTTAGCAGGGATTCTAACCAAAAAAGATTTGGCAGACTTCGCAGCTGTGCAGTGGGATGATTAAAATCCAGCTGATGAAGCTATGAATTTCTCAGGGTTCTACAAAACTTACAGTTATTTGCATCAACTAACCAATGTTACTGCTGAGAACCAAAAGGGTGAAATAGAATGGACCCATGACCTACTGTACCATGAATTTCAATTTTTTTCGATTGTGTTTTGAACATTTAAAAATCACAGCTGCTTTCCCCTTCCAACTATGTACTTACTTCTTATTCAGTCCAAAAGGCATGCTTATTGTTCAGTATAAAACACCTGCTCGCAAGCACTTGTACAGAATGAGATTGAGGGCGTTGCTTTACCTTCAGGTCACTGTTATGACCTACCCCACATGGACAGATTTTACGGAACAAAATATTTTTTTTTAAGATGGCACATACACATTCGGCGTTTGGACAGAGTTTCCAAACGCACATTTGAGAGAACTAGAGAGATTCGATTCGTACGGATTCGGGTGGACCAACATACATGCAAAACATTAGCTCAATCCACATAGAAAAACCCAAAATGTCACGCGGCATCGTCAATAGGCAAAAGATATTTGAGCTGGAGTACCATCCCGAGATGAAAAACGTTGCTCGAAAAATTTTTCACAGCAGCCTTGGCTCTCGAGGTCCATTTCTTAGCATCAAAATAACCTTGATGAATTAAATAATTACGGCAAACGTTGCTCGCTTTTCACTTATCCGTTATCACACATACAAATCTCATCAAAGGCCTCCACTTTCAAATAACAAATAATTAAAGTAGATTAAAAAATTAATCTAAAAAACCACGTTTTCAAAAAGCAAAAAATAACCTTAAACGTGGTGCACATCTATTTCATTTGTATTTCACTTCTTCTCAACAATCTCCNATAATTACTTTATTCTTTTTTAAAAATATTCTTAAAATTAATTTTTTCACAAAAGATTGCATTTTCATCAGTTTCTAGGCTATCCTGAAAGTTTCAGCTTGATAGCTAGTTGGGAAGTGAGTGAAATTTGAGTTTAAAAATTTGATCCGGACAAACAGACAGACAAGAAAGTGAGTTCATAAAAACATGGTAAAATAGGAAACGGGCACGAAAGAGGGGGGGGGGGGGGCTAGATTTTACCTCACTGAACGTCGAAACCAACACGATGGCTGGACTTATCGTCCGTCATATCGCAGTCCGCGAAATCCGTCACGGGAAGGTAAAGATTCTCCGTCGAGCCACGTAGACAATTCGCCACCACTAAACCACTGCTGGACGTTGCGGCATTGACGAGCGCCGACAACCCATCGAACCCCAGACGTGGGTTAAATTCCAAGGGTAACGCGACACTGGTATCTAAACCGAGAGACATAACAGCGTGCCTCGGGTCAAACTGCGAAATCACGTCACGACGATGGTTCATATGAAGGAATTCACAGCTAGTCCCGTTCGGAATGAAGGAAGATTCGCCCAGTTCGGGCATCGAATGGGGAGTGTTGGGTGTGAACCCGTCGGAGATCACTGTACTCGTACTCAACTCCGTCCATCTACACACATACACAAAGAATATAATTTATCATGAAACCATAAAATTAGGCACAATATCCGATCGTTACTGCTTTCAAGATCATATATGTTATCTTCTGCCCACAAACTCAACATGCTGGCTTCCACGTTTATACACAGTGCAACCTCTGTAATTCGAACTTCAGGGTACCCTGACCCGACAAAAATCGGGTCAGGGATGTTTCAGTTAGGGATCAAGCATTTGTGTTGAGAAGAAAGAAGCATCAAATGAAATTGTAATTGGTTATATTCTATGCATTACATTACGTCTGCTGAACTCGGAGGCAGGGGTTCATTTTCTTACGTAAAATATTCTTTTACAGTACTTCCTTTCAAAAGATCACAAGAAATCATGTCACACTTTTACTGTTCCTGTGTTGATGAAATAAAAACGTAATGACATTCAGAAAATTCGAAGGGCCGTTTGGAGGGGGAAAGCATTCCTAGGAGGTTTTTAATGCACTGTTTCGAAAAGAAGTCAGCGAGGGACTTCAAACGAATTCGACATAGGGAGGTTCTCGATATCACATCACGGCCGAACCGTATTTTTAAATTTCCTTTTTGTGGCGCTATATAGATGCAGAAACCGAACCGCGGACATAAAAAAGAAGTGCGAACTTGATTTGACAGCGAAATCTGATTGTCTTCCATTCTCAACACAATCGCAAAAATTAATGAAGACTAACCCAGGCACTTGAGTAACAAGATTCGGTTTCACATAGCCATTGGATTCCCTTCGCGGCTTCAAATCCGGAGGAGAGTAGAATTTGCCGAACGCATCATCCTTGCTAATCGCAGGATACAAATTCGCTAAATATTTGAGATCCGAGATACGATCCGGTAGTGATCTGATATTCAAATCACGGGCCACGAAAGGTTGCAGCATGAACACCTCTTTCTTTCCTGAGAAAAAAAAAAAAACAAATCCATCACATGAGCAAATATGTAGATCTTTGTTTTGAAAACTACGGATTGAGATCCTTTTCCACATCTATAATTTGATAAGATTCAATTTAAATTAGGAATAATCATTCAATATAAAGCATTCGCATTCGCAAAAACGGAATCACAAACACTACCAGTGGATGAATCTTCAGCAATCCAGGCGACGGTCAATCCTCCCAACTCAGAGTCGGAAAATCGCAGCAAAAATGTACCATGCGGACAACCAAGCAACATATCTTCGGCTTTGCTTCGACTAACGAATCCCATGACACATCTTAACACACCAAGTTTCCGAGATCAGCATTAAAATTAGTCAGAAAATCACGTGCATATTTACCCTGCACTCCACACGTCTCGCAAATAATCTCTAACGAGACGCTTTGCGGCGAAGAACCAATCCCAGAAAGAAAAGTTTCTTCCCGGCAGAGAATCTTTGCAAAATGAACTCCAACTAACGTCGAAATCTTGATCTACGGGGGAAAGTAATCTAAAAAAAAAAACATGCAAAAGTCAACGCACGTTTCAAGACGTACATCAGGACGACATGAAGGTAACTCACTGCTTCAGTTTGGAGCCCAAAAATTCTAAATGGTCATCATTCAACAAAAGGTATCCTGAAAAGGATGATCCGATCCCATCGTTCCCAGTCAACGTTTGCGAGAATTTGGCACGCAGCAAGTCTTTCAACTGAGACCACTTGACAACTGGCGCTGACGAATGAACACATGGTGAACCATGCACAGCGGACGCGTCTAAAGCTGGACTGCATGCATCCACTGGGCAAAAAGCGTTGTCCCAACAAATTGAAGCCCACGCCATGGAGTCCTGGTTACCATGCACAGTAACAACAACTGGCAACGATAGTGCAGCTATCTGCAATAATGCCAACATTCGAGGTCTCGTTATTCCACCAAATACAGGAAAATCTTCATACAGTACAACGAAAACCATGTCAAAATTTTTTTTTAGCACGACAATCTTTTTCTCAAAATCCGGAAAAAGCCCACGGAATCATACTAAAAAAGATCTCGTAAAACAACTTCCCAATTCCAGAAAAATTAGTTTAGGAATGTTTAATAGATTCTGCAGGTAGAAATTTCCTGACAAACGCAGGCGAGGTATGGAATTTCAATCCCTAATAAGACTGAAAGGTTCTTGTGGCATGAATGGAAGCTGTAATCAGTGACAAAAATGCTTCCAAGTGTCTCCACACATCATCCTCCCAGAATGAAGAAATTTTCAAATCATCATCTCACAATGAAGAAATTGGTGCAAACCATGGAATGCACGAGTCAAGCAAATTTTCATCCAGTTCACTCAGTTTTTCAAACAAAAACAAACCCGAAAAGGCCAGAAAATCAAGATCTAATTGATTTCATAGGCAGGTCTAATGTGCAAATTTTTCTCAGTGATTTTGAAAATATCGTTATATCTTATACTGTAACACCTTTTTCAGTACAAAAAACGTTTTCTTAAGTACCCCGTAGTTTTTCGTTACCCGATTTAACTGCATATTCGAGAAATATATGCAAAATCATGCTTGCATCATCACTCGGAATTAAAAAAAAAAAATCGTTTACACTGCAACCAACATATTTCCAAACAATAAAAACTCGTACCTGGAAATATAGTTGCTCATCTCCCAAAGCGAATTCCGTTTGAAAAAGAAGCGCATATTTTTCTTCGGTCACGTTAGCTTCGTTGAACTTCTTATCGCCTCTTTTGATTTTTTTCAACTGCATATTTCTGCAAGAAATTTATACTCTGAATTGCAAAGATCACACCTACGAAATAAATGCGTCTTACCGGAAGGCAACACTCAAGTGCTTCGATGCCTGGTGGTACTCCAAAGTACCAGTGTTATTTAGAATTTCGCCGGAATACTCGGTCCAGGGCCCACCGATTCGGCGACGCAACACGGAAGCTTCATGCTCATTCACTATGTTAACTCGTACCTTCGGGGCTGACATGTGAATGTTCAGTTTACCACCGACGATGTGTCGCACAGACGCAGTGAATCTTGTGTTCATTTTCATGACCTGAGGCGGTTGCACTTCGACCAAAAACGTCCTGAAATTTCAAGATAATTACTCAATAACCGTCGCAGTTCGACGACAACCCAGGAACTTTCAAAGATTTGTGTTTATCTGCTCGTAATAAAATGAGGCATTACAATTACAGTAGTTCGACTTGATCAGTTGAACCTCTAAAAGTCGAATTTTTTTCAAGCCCATGTGTGAATTTCCACAGAAAATGTGCACTAAAAGCATCTTTAACTCGAAGGCTTTTCCTCTCAAACACCGGCAACTCGAATTTGCTCAGGCCTTTTGAAGATTTTTATTTTTCAAACGGAAGAGAAAAGCAATGGGAAAAAATAACGATGTGTTTCGAAGGGGAGTGAAGAACTAATTGGGCAAGTGAACCCTTGCCTTCAAGTTCTACATCCTGTCAACTCATTTAAAAAGCAATTTAAGGACCCAGAATGTCACCAAATTACAATTTCCTGCAATTCCTCTTTGTTTGCTGTATCAAAAATGCTTGCTTCCATAATTCTAAAGCTCCCAAATTTGAATTTTTTTGGTGGTCCCTTGAAGTTTGACTTTATAGAAATTATATGCCATTGAATTTCCACTCACATGGACACGATTTGCTGCAGCAAATCCGTAACTTGAGACATAAGAGCTCCCAAATCAATCTCTTGTTTGGGCTGCTGACCAGTTCCATTCACACCGTCTTGCGCTGGACTTTCTTGAACATTCATCAGAGCCTGGAGATGCACCAGTTCCTTCACTTGATTCCGGTTCAGCCATATAACTTCCGCTAAGCCTTCGCACCAATGTTGGATTTGGTCCAAGTGAGTCGGCGGAGAACTGCCGTTCAAAGACAATTGCTGAGTTCGCTTCCATTTCGGGAGTTCTTCTCCAAGAACTTTCATCTGCAGCGCGGATATGCGACTGATGGAGTGGCTCAGATTTTCCGCAGATTCTCGTCGCATCATTAGAACTTCGGTTACTTTTTTCGATAGACCATCGTACACTGAAGACTTTTGCTCTTCTAGGTTACGCACGATTTCTTGATTCACAGAAGATGCATTGGCTGCGAACATGTGCGGTTGATGGGCAACAAGGTTGTCCCACGCAGCTGAGAAAAGTAATCGATATTCAATTGAATCAATTTTTGGGGAAGGTCATGAAAGTTCCAGTTTACGACAAAAATGTCTACAAGTGATTTCGTATGAAGAAATACGTCCCGAAACTTGCTCAATTGACCGTTTGTCTGATCACGACAGCCTTTCGATATGACACCCCGCTTTTCAAGCACATTCCGTTTCAAACTTTATAATATACTAGCTTCATACACGTACATAAAGCAATCAAGCATTTATACGTACACTCACACGTACAATTTGCTCGAGTTAAGGGAAGAATTTCCATTAAAATGATTAGAACTGAGGGTTCCTCGCTTCAAGAAATCTTCTTTGCACCTTCTCCACGCTGTTATCACCAATTTTGATTTACGTACGCATACGTTCGACTTCAACTCAGATTGGAGTAACCTCAAGTTTTGCATTCAGATTAGACTTTTTGGATAGTCGTGACAGACTTACCAACAAGCTGGTTATACTGATGAAGCATGAGAGCCACGGATTCTTGCGACTGGCTCAAAGAGCTGATGGATTCATTCTCGAGCTGGGTTCTGTTCCGTATCTGTTCCAATTCTCGAAGTATACCAGCGTTCACCATTGAAACCCTCTCGTCCATGATCAGGGAATGATGCAGCGCCTGTTGCAAATCAAGCAACATTTGCAATCGAAGCACTAATATCGAAAATGGAAAAATTACCGAGTCAGCTTCTTGAACCAATTGGTATTCAACAGCCAGGTTACTCTTGACAAGGTTTACAAATTCCACAGGATTGCTCAAGAATGCTTTCTGAAAAATATAAACGCAAGCGATTCACGATCTACTGACAAAAGGCGCTAGTTTGAAGCGTCGAAAAAAGTTCCACATCAACTTACAACGCGTCTCTCTTCAGAAAGGCACAACACTTCCCTTTTTTTTTTAAATGCGACCACACGAACCTTGAAATTGTCCAGCACTTCATCCAACTTGATTCGACTGAGGAACTGATCGGGAGAATTCAGGGCCCTGACACAAGCATCGAGCTCATCCACAGCAGCTGACACAGTTCTGGAGGCTGTGAGTTCTTGTTCGGGATTTGACGGTTTCAGCTCATCCCTAAAACGCCGAAATTCACTTTACGAGCTGCGCGATTCAAAATTTTTTCATTTTCCACTCACCAGCACCTATTCTCGATCCATTCAGCGAGGTAGTGTCTGACTTCGATGGGATAATCTCCTTGATACAATGCCCGTACCTGACGAAACTTTTCTGCAGGCAGCTGTTGGGTTCTCGCCCAAAGTGACATCACGACTAACCGTTTCACATGAAACCCAACACAAACGAAAGCATATCTTGAGGGACAAATATAAGTTAGCAAAGCACCTTCGTAGGACGGAACTTCGAGAGAGGAAGTTTTGTCTCGGGTCGGAAATCAGAAGCAACATTTTCTATTAAATAATTTAATGTTGCGTCAAGACCAACAACAAAGCATCACGTCCTGGTATCGATGGATATTCACAAGTTTCACTCAACGAAACCACTTCAAAACTTCCAGCGATTCATAACAGGCTACTCCTCGAAGTAAAAGCTAAACTCAGCCGTTAACAACGTTTTCAAACAAAATTGCGGAAGGGTTGGATTCCAGGTCTCTCGAATTGATCATTCACTCAATTCAATTTCAAGATGCGGCGGTCGATGCACCTTGACCAGTTGTATCATACCTTGACTTTCTTGCCGATCCAGTGCCACTTGAAAGCTGAGAAGAAACGGAAAGAGGACAAAAATATTTTTGAATCGAACGCAAGAATAAATAAAATACTTCTGGAAAAACCACTGTATCAAAAGCTTCGAATTTCAGAAACCGCATAAAGGGAATAAAAAATTCATGTGGAATCACATAATGGAGCAAGCTTTCTCATCGCCGCGATCGTAAACAGATCCGACATAATGCCACTCAGATACTGCGGGGAAGAAAGGCACACGTTTACAATTGAATAAAACTCGAAAAATTCTAATTTGCTCACCTTCTTCAGGAATAGGAATGGGATCCTCTTCGGGTCCAAATGCTTCAACAATCGAGGTAGCTTCCTCTTCCTCAACTTTTCTTCCCCCGACGTCCGTCACAGTGCATGTCCTAAATAAAGGAGTCACGTTCCTGATCTAAAATTCTTCGATAATGAATTCAATTTAACAATATGGAAGTTGAAAACTTAACACATGCTGCAATCAATTGACACAACCTCAAAAAAAAATTCGATTTCTTACAGGTCAAGCTTTCCCTTGTCAGTTTTTCCTCCCATAAGTTTCTTCCATTCATGATGCGTTTCCTCAATAACACGCAAAGCGAATGATCGATCTTTCGCTTCGCCATTGAAAGCAAATTCGTTCGGCGGAGAACCTGACGTAGAATATGGAGTTTAGCTCATGCTCGGATTTTTGAATCGAGGAAAAAACTTACCACCCGGCATTTTATAGATGCGAAACCATTCCACAGTGGCGCACAAATATCCAGGCATAATCCTCTCCAAATCCTTCACACCTGAACCAGAGAGTGTTTTTTTCAAATTCAAGAGAAATATTTCGCTCGAATACTCACCATTTATTTGGGTCGCCATAGGATCACGTACATCAATGACGAGGACTTTCCAGTCAGTTTCCCCTACACATAAAACATAGCTTGAAATCACAAGAATATCAAAGGATGGCTCTCGAGAAAATCTAACCATCATCTAGCATGGCCAAAATTCCAAGAACTTTGACGGGAAGAATTTCTCCACGCTTGGCTATCCGAGAACCAACTTCAATCACATCGATTGGATCATTGTCACCCTTTGCACCGGTGTGCGGGTCTTTAGCGTTTGGATTCTCCCAGGTCTAAAGAAGATGCACACTTCAAAGTAACATATGGCACACAGCATTTGCCAGATTCTTCGCAAAAAGAATAGGCGGATAGCATCAGTGTGCGTCTTAGATTCGCAGGTGAAGTGCAAAATGGCTTGTGACCTAAACAAATCTACGTATCTCTTTAAAATTTGTTATTTACAGAGAACTTTGAGTCCAAAATGCAATTGAATATTTTTTATCTTCTCGTTCGAATAAAGCTCTAGTTTGAGTGATGATCCTGATTTTTTACAATTGCTTGCGCAAATAAACCTGGAAAATGAAAATTGAAAGAATGTATCAGAAGCCCAACGACTCCACGAGAAATTAACACACAAAAATTCCGTAATTCGTCTCATATCGCATAAGAGGGGAAACATTTTTGGCAGGTCATATTGGGGTAGCATGCCAACCTGAGGAAGAGCACCATAATTCCATATGTAGCCATGATGCGGAAAACAGTTGTGAACGAATCTCAATTTGCCATTCTTTTCATCTTGCTTGATCGGATTGAGTGGTTCTTTGGTTGCTACCTGAAAGTTATGAAATCAGTGATGACATTTTCAAAATTTCCCCGAATTGAACCTATGGTACCTCCATCTTAGCGTTGGACCAACGAGGAATTTCGACGACCATATTAAACACTTGATTGTCGACGTCCGCATACAGCGGGATGTCATGAAAAGGTGAGACATATTTCCCATCTTCATTTTCTGTCGAAAAATATAAGAAAAGAAAAACAAAATAAATTAAAAACGTTCTTAGTGAAACACTCGCAAAAGATTTCACTCCGCCTGTGGTCCACGGAGACGTTGTGTAATGGGACTAACCGTGGATGGCACTTAGAGAACTACAGCTTCGTCTATTCTTGAAAAGCACAGAATTCCACACTCACTGAAAAAAATTCTGAAGTTTTCGGAATGCTCGGCTCCCCGAACTTCGGCTTGAGCGCGACTCATTTTTTCCAATACTGTCGTCACGCTAGAAATTGGAGAGTAGCTCAGGCATGGTGAGCTTCCGGTATCAAAAAACTTCTGTATCTTCCGAGTGACACAAAAGTATCTTTCCACGAGTACATCCAAAAAAGGGACTTTGGATCGACCGGAAACGACGTCTGCACATCGTTTCATAGCAGTAGGCGCCGCCATGGTGAAATTCTAAGGAATCTACGCTGAGTGCAATTGGACCGCCTTAACTTTGGGTATGGAAGCGTAGTAATACTCGTACAATGATTAAATTAATCGTTACTTAATAGAATAAACCGCACATTTACTAAGCGACTAACGAGAATACAGCCAAGTCAACCGTGAAATTTGTGGCACAATGAAAGTCCGAGACTCCGAGGCAGCCGGCCGACTAGTCGCGCATCAGTCGGGAGCCCGCGCGTAACTCAACTGTAAAGCTGAGCAGCATACAAAGAACCTGAATCTCATCAATAAATTAAGCATAAAGATGAAATGTCTAAAGAAAGAAAATTCCTGGATTCCTGAACATACCCATTTACTGTACACGACTGAGAGTGCATTCCGGTATTTCTACAACAATAAAAGAGTAAATGTGTAAATAATCTTTTTGCAATACTGTATATAATAATGTACTGATCATGCATACCGTATATATACTATACCCCACCTGAGGCGGTCTTAGGGGTGGGGGAGGAGGTGGCCTAAATTCCCTAAAAGATGCATTCGCTTCCTCAGGCCGCGCAACATGGCCTGACCCCAAAAAATCTCCCTTTATTTTTACAGTATCACTACTGTATCTGCATTTCATGCGCATATCAGGAAAACTAGGCCATATATATTTGCTGCATGCCTGGGTTATTTTGGCGTATATTTGAGCACTTGTATATCAGCCAATATATGCTGCGAGACACAAAAATCAACAGCAATATAGCATTAATTGGCATAGAATAACACAGCAGTATTTATTCTTTTTGTTTTTCAGTGCATCTAATTTTGGGGCACCCATGCACAGCTAGATGAAGGCACAATTCAGCTGTGAAAATGTTTTCAAATATGCTCCGAAATCTCTTTGAAAAATAATCACATGCAAAAACTTCTGGCCACTTGCATACAAAGGATGAACATCAAAATTTAGAATATGTAGTATGCTATATTTATTCATGATTGGCAATTATAGCTTGGAAATTTTGTAAAATCCATCCATAATTCCAAATTAGGCCATATCATCCTCAAATGTAGCCCTGACGTAGTCTCTGTCAATACAGTATTCCCCATCTCGTATAGAACGTACTGGTCCAATTATAAACCCTACCCAGCAAAAAATTTGAGCATTCATTAACCCATTCATGGCAGGATAGACAATTTGTGAATGGGTTTCCAATGGGTTCATAAATATTGACAGAGGCCACGTCAGGGCCACATTTGAGGATGATATGGCCTAATTTGGAATTACGGATGCATTTAAAAAAATTTCCAAGCTATAATTGCCAATCATTAATAAATATATCATACTATATATTCTAAATTTTGTTGTTCATCCTTTGTATGCAAGTGGCCAGAAGTTTTTGCATGTGATTATTTTTCAAAGGGATTTTGGAGCATATTTGAAAACAATAATACCCTATCATCATTGCCCCTCATAGTGTTTACTTTGAAAAACAGTTGAGCATTCATGAACCCATTCTTGGCAGGATTGGCCATTTGCGAATGGGTTTCCAGTGAATCTCATCAATAATCCACATTGGGGCAATGATGATAGGGTATTTTTGTGGGCTGAGAAGTATTCCCCTCATAGTGTTTACCCAGCAAAAAGTTTGAGCATTTATGAACTCACTGGAAATCCATTCACAAATGGTCAATCCTGCCATGAATTGTTGTGGGCTGAGAGGTATTCGTCTGATGCTTTCATCTTTAAAAAAGGAAATACATAATCTTTTGGGTTGGACGTATTTTTATTCTGTTTTTATTTGAGTAGAGTCTGCAATAATAAACGGGGAGTACATATTATTCCGGGATGAGAAGATTGGGCCCAATATTATTTGGGTATCACTATGAATATCGTCTTCTTGAATTTTGGACGATCCTGATGTGCAGAGAACATCTTTTAGGCATACATATACAGCTAGCTGGAAGCTCTTATTGCAAAGGCTTTACGCAGAAAATGAAAACTCACAGAATGAAGAATAATGGTTTTTGCTGGCTTTTTGCCTTATTTGGCCTATTGGTTATTTTTTTGTGCAGTAGGGTTTATTATTGGGATGCGGAAGAATGCATGTCATTTTCAAGCAATAGTCCAAGAATTCCGGAAGAAAATATGTCACAGGTACTGTATTTGTAACATCTCTATTCATTTTAAGATCGGATAAAATTGCTTGTCGATGTCGCAGTGGTTTCTTTGATTTTTTTTTCTAAAAGGGAGTAATGTTTTAGCAGGTCTTGTGCATCATGTGCCCGCATATAAAATACAATGAAACCCAGAGTTGGGGACTTAATTGGTGCTCCCTATGTTGGAATTTCTGCATGTCAGACCTTGTCTTCCCATAGACTTCAGTGGTAACTCATTTAATTGGTACTCCAGCAGTTCATGGAAAATGGGCAGCAAATCCCCAAAAATTCCAATAAAATGTGTTTCACAACTAATCCCTTTATTGTGCAGCAAAGTCAGGATATTTTTGCAAAATTTTGTCCCCATGAGGACTGCAAATTTAAAAATATTTTTTTTTAACCATGGCCATATTCAGGAAAAAGTCCAATATATTTTTATAATCCTGCAAAATTTTGGCTAAAAAAATCCTTTCTGTGTGGTATTTTTTCATGCATACCCAGCATATGGTCCACATTGGGATTTCTCCAGACAATGGGATATTCTGAACCCAGATGCTTCCCAACTTAGGCCTTGACAACCTGGGGGCCTTTCAGTGTCCTTTAGTCAAACTGAAATCCCCCCACCCCCATCTAAAATTTGCCACAGGATGGCCAGGAACCCTCTGCCATCGAAGGGTTAAAGATACAGAATGTAATTATTCTGAATAAAGAAACCCACAAAGAATATGATCCTTTGGCATGGAATGGACTCAAAAATACAAATAAAATGTACTGTATAAGTCTTGCTGACCTGTGCACAGATGATAGATAATGCTGAAAAAAATAAGCACAAGATTAACCCATTTTTGACTAAAAATTCAAGCAATTATATGATGATATTCAGTTTTAACTTTGGTGGAAATAAATAGCTTGCTTTTTTGAAGAGATACTGTATTCAAATATTGAAAATTAAAATTTTCCAATTTTCTAGAAATGCTGAAAGGTGTCTGTATGTCAAGATATTGTTTGGATTTTGGGCTCAATTTTTTGAATTTTCAAGTGACCCCAAGTCAAATTTACCATATGCTGGGGTGTCTGCATTTGGGTCTGTCTGCATGTACCTGATTCAAATGACTGGAAAAATCTTTGAAAGTATTTCAATTCTTGTTGAGATTTTGAATGAAACGCAACCTCGTCCATAAATTAGGCCTATATCATCAAAATTGCGAAATTTAAAAGTTGAATTTTGATTAGACTGGAAAAGTTACCAAATGCTGATATAGGAAAACTGCTTATATATACAGAAATGAATAACACCATGCATCAGAATAAAATTGTTGCGAACACTTACTGTCTTTGAATGTAAGATGTAAAGTGAATGCAGTGATCAAACTTGTATAAATGACCATTGGTTATTTGTTGGAGCTAATTGTTAGATGAATTTCTATCACAGGAATCCATGGAGGATGGAACATACGTCAGTGACCTGAATCTTAGAGTGAGGTTGAGTGTGAACATCAATGGTTGTTTTCACTGGAAGAAGTGGGCCGTAATGATGTCACATAATTGTGGAAATGTTACACCTTCAATCGAAAAACTGATTTACAAATATCATTTCTGCGTTATTCACCTGGAGCCACAGTCTGAAATTCCCTGTTCTTACGTCTACCAAGAGGATCCAAGGTAAACAAAAAAAAGGCAGCTCGAAGTTCGAAATTCAATTTTTTGTGTCACTTGATTTATCGAATTTTCAAATTATACATGGACTTCATCGATCATTTTTACTAACGTGTCTACCCTTACGCAAAAACTGGATTCATAAACGTAATTGATGTTGATAATGGTCCTCATAAATTGCACTACATTCGCTTTTCAGTGAAAGAAATCTCCTTGTATTCCTTGCTAATAAAAATAACTTTCTGTATAGGGAATAGTTTACTTCAGTCAATCTTTGTTCAAAGGTGATGTTCAGTATGTTCAGACATTCAATGCCTACAAAATATAATTGCTATGTATCAAGAATGGATTATGATGGTCAGTCAGTTGAAAGGGAATGGAGAGATTTGAAGAAAAAGAAAACATAATTTTTTAAAACTTATAACACAATTTCAAACATCATTTCAAATTTGGATGGCCAGCACTCAAAGTGATTTCATCCTTGTTCCATATTTTCCACAAATAAATGCAGCCAAATGAAAAATGCATACTGTACAGTATTTCCAGTTAGCTCACATTAATTTCTGCTTGAAAGGATCTCATTGCAGTGTGGCCAACTGCATATTAGTTCATTTTTTTAAATGATGTCCAAAAGATATGAGCAGAAGACCACAGTCTGCACATATTATGTTTCCAATAAAAATTGAGACATTCTATTTTCCACTCCTCCATTTCTTTTGTGTTGAGAATTTAAAAAAGGAAAATAGGAATTGGATGCTTTCACAACCCTGAGAATATATTTTCCTGATGTATATGGTATCTTGTTATTCCACAGCCACAATTAAAATAGGTCACCTATCGTAAAAATCTAGTTTTCGATTCATGCATGCAATTGAAGTGAATTTGTTGGTGCATAAATTGTTGAAGTAACCAGCAGGTTTTCCTTGGTGCTTTCAGACAAATATTCTTAAGCTACGATGTACAGAAAAGTCTTCCATTCCATGTCAACAAGATAAAGGGGCTAAATTTGCCTGCGAAAAACATAGGCTTTCTATTTGCTATTCAGTATGGAGCTGAAGTCATCATTGACATCACGGACACGCCAGAGTCAAATCAACTGTCTTTCACAAGATATCCAAGCATATTTTCGCCGAATTTCAACGAGATTGGCAGATTTTTCCGTCCAGAATTGCATTTGAAGTCAGCGGCTGCCATTCAGGTCGTATCCGTTATGAACATTTTCCAAGCATTTATTCTGTATATGCCGTATTCAATTATGTGTTCACAAATGTACAGATTGAAATTGAAGTTTAAAGAACATTACATTCCAAAAGAAAGATGTGGGGATGCCAGAGTTAAGATATAGTATTTGAAGCTCACATGAGAGTATTCAAGCAAGAATTTGTTGAGAGTTTTGTTAGTCAAGATGAGAAATTTGAATTTATAAGGATTGACAAACTGTACAGACTTCAATTTGATCATATATCCTGATTAGGAATCCACTTTTAATTGGCAAGTGTGGAATAAAGAGAAGACTTAGAATTGTATGTGAATTTACATTC